GTACTACTTTGTAATCTCACCAGTGATGTATAAAAGTTCTTAGTTTTCTGCATCCTAGTCAGTCCTTGATATTGTCATTCTTTTTTTTTTTTCATTTTAGCCATTCAATTGGCTAAAAGTAAGCTACTACTAACTCACTGTGATTTACTTGTTTGTTTATATTTTAAGGATATGGAGTATCAGGATTAGGTATGACATAAGAGATAAGATAGACAAATGAGAACTCATCAAACTGACAAGCTTCTGCAAAGCAAAAGAAACCACGGAGACAGGGAGACAACCTATAGTCTGGGAAAAAAATATTTGTCAGCTGTGTATCTGACAAAGGTCTAACATTCAGGATCTATAAGGAACTCAAAAGTGCCAAAAGGAAAAAAATAACAAACAGCCCTATTAAACAGTGGGCAAAATATATAAATAGAGATTTCTTAAAAGAAGACGTACAAGCAGCCATCAGATACATGAAAAAATTCTCAGTCTCAAAGAAATGCAAAGAAATGCACATTAAAGCACATTGACATACCGCCTAACTCCAGTCAGGATGGTCATCATCAACAAGTCAAAAAACAACAGATACTGGGAAGGATGAGGAGGAAAAGGGAATGCTTCCATATTGTTGGTAGGATTGTAAGCTAATACAACTTCTATGGAAAACAGTGTGACCATTCCTAAAAGATATGACCCAGCGATTCCTCTTCTGGGAATATAACCAGGGGAATTCAAATCATTCTACTAAAAAGAAACCTGCACACGCATGTTTACTACAGCCATTATTTGCAATAGCAAAAACATGAACCATCAAACGTGGAATGGATTAAAAAATCGTGGTACATATATACAAGGGAATATTTCGCAGCCATAAAGAAGAACAAAATTATGGACTTCGCAGCAACTTGAATGGATTTAGAGCCTATTATACTCAGTGATCTATTACAGACACAGAGAACTGAGTACCACATGTTCTCACTCATAAGCAGACCATAAACATTTATCATAATGCTATGAGAAAGACACTGGCAGTAAAAGAAAACTTCCAACTGGATTCGGTGTCTCAGCCTGTAATCCCGAGCCTTTGGGAGGCTGAGGTGAGTGGATTGCCTGAGCCCGTGGGTTTGAGACCCGCCTGGGCAGGCGAGACCTCATCTCTACAATAAATCAAAAAAGTAGCCGGGCGTGGCAGCGCACGCCTGTAATTCCGGCTACTCGGAAGGTTGAGGCGCAAGGATCGCCGGAGTCCGGCAGGTCGAGGTTGCGGTGCACTCCAGTCAGGGTGACAGAGTGAGACTCCAACTCTAACAAAAAAAAAAAAAAAGAAAAGAAAAGAAAAGAAAGAAAACTTCCAGGAGAGGGAGGGAGATAACATAACATCAATAAGGTGCTTATCTCAAACCAGGAAAGTGGGGACCAAAGGATGGTCCAAACATTACCTGTATGAGGACCACTTATGTAGCTAATCCTGAATTGTACCCCACATTCTTAAAATAAAAAATAGTATTTTCTATTCCTAAGCTTATAAACATGTTCACTCATATTTTCACCAAAATTCTTAATTTTTAACCTACCTATAATTTATTTTAGTATAGTCAATAATACTATGCATTTTTAAAACGTGTATTAAAGATTTTCTAGAGTGGATTGTTTAATATATTTTTTATCCTATACCTAAAGTTCATATCATAACAAGGATCTGTTTCTGTGCTTCCTTTATTGTACTGGACATTTAAGTCACCAGTCAGTAGTACTTTGTTATGACAACTTTACAAACTAATACATCTTATTGATAGTAAGCATAAAAATGCTAATGTGACTGGATAAACAATAAATTGTTGTAAATAAAAATATAAATAACCCATTTGTCATGGAAGAAATTATAACTTTATGTTAAATTTTGATTTCTAGCTGGGAAATCTGTTACCATCTCCATCCTACTTACCTTCCTATTTCTTCCATTCTTCCATCTTCAGAATTCTCTTGGTATTTCTCTTTTACACTTTATTATTACATTTCATTCCATTCCATCAAGTCCACTGGAAATTCCTATTGGGATTTAATAAAAATTGGAGTAACTTTACATATCAAATTGCAAATAATTTTCATCTTTATAATATTGAGAATTTTCTTTCTTCTTTTTTTTCTTTTTTTGAGTTGGAGTCTCACTCCGTCTCCCAGACTGGAGTGCAGTGGCCGCTCCTGGCCACCGCAGCCTCGACCCGCTGGGCTCCAGCGATCTTTCCGCCTCAGCCTTCCGAGTAGCCGGAATTACAGGCATGTGCTACCACGCCCAGCTGATTTTTTGATTTATTGTAGAGATGAGGTCTCGCTGCCCGGGCAGGTCTTGAGAATTTTCAATCATGATTATACTATCTTTTTCCTTGGGTCTTTGTTGTATTTCTATTTTTTTGTTATTGTAAATGATATCTATATTTATTAACATGGAAATAAATGCTATAAGTAGCAATAAATAATAGCTATTCTTGTTATGATATTGTTAATTATAATTTAAACATATTTAAATATTAATCTTATAGCTACCTGAAATTTTCTATTGATTTTATATTTTTCTGTAGATATCGTGCCTATTCTTTATAAACAGTGGTATAATATTAAATGATTGTAATTTTGCTTACTTTTTCCATATTTAATGTAATTTTATTTATTTTCTTTTACCTAGTTTACTAGCTAGTTCAATGTTGAATAAAATCATTTTAAAAAGTTCACATTTTATTTCTGACATTTAAAGAGAATATCTTTTACTTTTATAATTTAAATAATGCATGTTTATGTTAAAGACACTGTCAGATAATGGATACAGCCTCCTATGACCTGTTGCCTATGAGACTTTTCCTTTTAAATGATGAAATGCTAAATTTTATTCAGTGCTTGTATATTTACATATTTACAGTCAGATTTGGTTTGCTAATATTGTGTTTAGTACCTTTCTTGGATTGATGTGTCTGCCTCCTAAAATAAGTTGAAGAACTTTCCATTGTTTACCCCTTTCTATATATTTTTTGATAATAAGAATTTTGGTAGATTGTTAGAACTAAGCTATAGAACCACTAAGACATTTTGAAGGCATGTGGAGTTTTGTGTGTGTGTGTTTTGTGCTTTGAAGGGATGTATGGTTTTGTGTTTGTGTGTGTACCAAATAGATATTGAAACATCATTTCAAATTATTTTATGATTATAAGTCAATGAGAATTTTATATGCGTCTTAAATCAGGTCTGGTAAGTTAAATGCAAATATGATCTATTGCATGAAGTACACATTATACATACAAAGTTATAGAAACTAACAATTGCTAATGTTCAGATTTAATGTTATCAAGTTTTTATATTTTTTATTATGAGTTTGAAAAAAAATCTACTCTGTCTATAGTTCTTCCTGCTTTAAATTTTTAATGTTTATTTTGCATCATTCTCTTTTTTGATATATTTTGTCAGAAGCAAATGTACTTCATTAGTATTTTCATGAAAACATCTCTTAGCTTTGTTGATCTTAATTATTGATTTGTTCTACATTCCATTAATGTGTGACTTTAACAATACTTTTCATTTACTTTTGGGGCTTATCCTTTACCCTCACACCATATTTGTTGAACAAGTATTTTGATTCAAATTTATACCTATGTCCAATCTACATAGACGCACATTAAATCCTTGAAAATTATTTTATTGCTTTAACTGGTTATCTCAACTTTGGATAGAGATTGTATTGTTTCTTTGTGCTATATTCTTTCTTTCTTTTATTTTTTTTGAGTTAGAGTCTCACTCTGTCACCCAGACTGGAGTGCAGTGGCTGCTCCCCGCCACCGTAGCCTCGACCTGCTAGGCTCCGGCGATCCTTCCACCTCAGTCTTCCAAGTAGCTGGAACTACAGGCGCGCGCTACCATGCCGGCTAAATTTTTGATTTATTTTAGAGATGAGGTCTTGCCAAGTTGCCCAGGCAAGTCTCGAACCCGTGGGCTTCAGGCAATCCACTCACCTTAGCCTCCCAAAGCGCAGGAATACAGGCTGAGCCACCGAGCCCGGCTTCTTTGTGCTATTTTCTACTATATATTTTAAATCTCCAAATACATTATTTAAAGTTTTTGTTTCTCTCCTTTTCTCCCTTTCTTCCCTTTAAGTTCACTTTTGAACTCACCAGTCTGAAGCATTTAAATAGGACACAATCACGAAAGTGTCCCTGCAAGGTGCAGGCCAGTATAGGGTGTCAGAGCCCATGTGGAAAGCTGAGAATTTCCATAAGTGGGGTGGATTGTCATGATATGTCAAAACTCGGGCAAAGAGAAGGCACTGTCCATGTGGAGGCTGGAGGGTGAGACCCAACAGGGGATGTTTATTGCTTATCTGCTGTTTTGTAATAAATGAACCCAAAACTTAGTTCTTAAAACTACACACATTTATTATCTCATGGAGTTTCTGAAAGTTAGGAAACTGTAGCAGCTTCTGTTTGTGATTTCCACTTAGGAACTCTCATGAGGTTTCCTTTGAGTTTTCTCAAGTCTCAACTAGAGCTGAAGACTCCATTTCTCAGTTCATTCATAGGGCTGTTGGCCAGAGGCTTTTGCTCTTCCCCATGTGGGAATCTGCTTTAGCTTCTTACAACATGGAAGCTTTCCCCTGGAGCAACTGGTTGAATAGAAAGAGAGCAAAAAGGAGTATTACTAAGAAAGAATACCCCATGACAAAAGTTACAGTTTTTATAACCTAGTAGTAGAAGTGACACCCTGTAATTTCCAAATTTGGCTATTAGTAATTTCTAAATTAGGCTTATATGGACCTATTGGTAGGGTCCACATAAGATTGTGAACACCAAAAGGTAGACACCATTAGGGGTCACCTCAGAAACTAGTTACCATATGGTGTCAGAGTCCAAAAAGACTCAATAGGGTGTCTATGTAGAGGGGTGCCTTAAGTGGGAGCTCAACAGCAGTAAGAACATATTTATTCTGGTTGGCAGTCTGGGACAAGGTGCCAGAGCCTGAGCAGAGGTCCTATAGAGAAATGCAACATGGAATGAGAAGAAAGAGCCTCAGACAGGTAAGAAAATCACATACTTTTATGTGTAAAGAAATATAGCCATTGATGTATCTGTTCAGGCTAATTTTAATTTCCTGCTCTATAAAATATAATTGAATAAAGAACCAATAAAATTATAAAATTATTTCTGATACATAGGAAAGGAAGCTGGAATTAAACTGGAATGTGAAAACTGAAAGTAAACATTAGCAAAACATGTATATAGTAACCTAGGGTAACTCCCTGGTGTTAAGTGACAAGAATAAACATATAATGGAGAGAGATCCTTTAAATGCTCAGTGTTATGGACACTCATCGTGTTCCTTAAATTAGAAAAAACATACTGAGTAAGATATAACCGCAGGAGGAATACTCTACAATGTTAAAGCCTTGGAAATCAAGGATATAGATAAATAAACAAAAGAAAGAAAAAAAAGAAAATCACATGAGGAAAGAAGGAGCCTGTTGTAATCAGTGATTGATTGTATATAGGGAGAGTGATTATATCAGTAGTTATATTAAGAAAAATGGGAATCAGTTTTCTCTCTGTTTAATAAGGCAGTTGTGAACAGGTAGAAAACAAAAATAGACACTCTCCTGTTGGAATAGGATTGGAAATATCAATATGCAGATTAATTACAATATGGTGATAGATGATAAGCAAATTGTAAGTAAATTTGAATATATATGTATATACACACATATGCATACAAATTTTCTAGTTCTGTTTACAGAGAATGCCTTGTCACAGCAAATCATTCATATCAATAAGCAATTTAGCACCCAGAGCATGATATATAAATACCAATCTCCTTCAAAAGCAACAAGATTATGACTGAATTCTGACCAAATATAGAAAAAAAGATGAGGTGAGTCTGGTACATCTTCTTATATCAGAAAGTAAGAAAGTGTTCAAAGAGTTATCGGTACATATCAAAAGGACACAAAAACCAGCTCGAATGGGATCGTATTAGCCAAACTTGGGGAATTTGAGCACCCAAATAAATATTAATTGCAAAAAAATGAGTCCAAATTTATATCAATTAATATTCTAATAAACAAAGTTTGAATAGAAATGAAATATTTGTATAATTACAATTACTTCTCCTAACACACTTGTTAATTTTGAAAGCAAAAAACAGTAGCTTCACAGAGAAATCTGACACAAAATAACTAGCCTAAAATTCTCCCAATTGTCCAAGCTATGAAATAACTGTTAAATACTAAAGGAGATTAAAACAACATGACAACTAAATGTAACGCATATTCCAAACCTGATCATTTTGCTATAAACGACATTATTATGACAGGCAAAATGCAATTTAAATTTATAATGAATTAATATGAATTTCATTATGGTATTGTGGCTATGTGGGAGAATGTCCTTATTCATAGGAAACACACACTAAAACATCCAGGAGTGATGAGGCATCAGATTAACAACTTACTCTTAAATGATTATAAAAAGAAAAAATGGGGAAAACTGTATGGCACCTAAAATTTTTCTGTAAGCTTATTTTATTAAAGATGTGAGGCATAATTCAAGATTAGGTAGAAAAGTGGCCATTGTACAGGTAAAGTTTATGCCTCCTTTTGGTCCCTACTTCCCCTGGTTTGAGATCAGGTACCTTATTGATACTATGTGTCCCCATCCCCTATCCCCGCCAGTGTCCTGCTACTGCCATTCCCTTTCTTACAGTATTATATTAAATTTCATTATTTTAAAATAACGTTTATAAAAATAAAAGATTTAACAATCGATCATTTATAATCAATTCTGAATTAATTGAAATGTGATCAGTTATAAAAGTTCTACATATATTTGAACGGACTGAATATTGACTTATTATGTCTTTGCATGATAATATTATATGGCTTTCAGTCATGTAATTAAAATCTTTTTTTACTATTTTTTTTTGTTTGGTTTGTTTATTAGGTCAGTTTCTGTTAATCATGTATTAAGAGATTACTCTTTTCCTTTGAAATTATGTTAGTTTTGTTATGTAAATTTGAGAATATGTTAAAGTGACTACAGATTCATTATTAAACGTGGTTGAAAGTTATTTAAGTATTTATCACTATTAATACATTTTTCCATGTGTTCCATTTTGCTTGATGTCATATTGCTGTCTTAACTTTCTTTCAATTGGTGTTTATCTGATAAATGAAAAATATTCTACTTTTATTTTTTAAGTAATTACAATAAAATTTTCAACATTCTTGTTTTATTTACATATCACTATCTTGCCAAACATATCAAATATCAGTTTTGATCTCTCCTATTATATGATATTTTTGTTCAGTATTTTAACTTTAGTTGTTTTTATGTAAAATTATGTATAATTTTTATGGTTTAATAGAGCCAATGCTTTAGTAAACTTACCCACTGAATTTTTTATCTTTTTGTTTCTTCTGTCAAGTTGATCCTCATTATTCACCTACAGTTTAAAACCATTTGTAAGACTAAAAATAAGTATTTTTCATAATATTTACATTGGTATTATGATACATTAATAATATTTACAGCCTTTTTCGAGGCATTCATGGATATACACAGAGTGATGAAAAATTTGAGTTACACAGCACTCATATTTCCAGCTGTGGCCGAACAAGACAATGCCCTTCCTTCTTGGTTCTGCTCTCAGACTATAAACAAGCGTCCTTTTTTGGTTAACTTAGAGACATGTTTTTCACATTTTCTGTGTGTGTGTGTGTGTGTGTGTGTGTGTGTGATTTTGGTTTTAAATGGCCTCTTACTCACAGAGCTGAAATGCTGCCTAGGGTTCCTAAGCACATGAAGGTTGTGATGTGCCATATGGAGAAAATGTGTGTGTTAGATAAGCTTCATTCAGGCATGAATTCTGGTGCTGTTGGCTGGGAGTCCAATGTAAATGAATCAACAATACCATGCATTCAGAGAAGGAAGAGGAAATGCTGTATGTGAGACCACTCAGGAACGTGCTAAAGTAACGTCTATAGTGTGTGATATAGCTATGGAAAAGCAACTAAACTTGCAGATTCATGAGATGATGCCCCATAAAAAAAAATTACAATGGGCAGCGTTGTTGTGAAGCCAAAAGTCAAAAAGGGTCAAGAAATGTTAAGTCCTTCTCACTTGTGCTGGCTGGCTACTGTGTCTTGTGTTTCAAAAGATGATAAGGTGTGAAAAGTGTTAAATATACATAAAAGACAGGATCTAGAGATCAGGAAACTGTGGAAGAATCTTTAAAATACTTCCCAAGTGTTATACAGGAATGCATCATGTGGAGAGCAGGTTTTTAACACTGAGAAGACTGGCTTATTTTACAGGAACATTGGCAAACAAACCTATATAATACAGCCAGTGTTTTGGTTGACAGAAATGTGCCCTGAAGCTCAGAGAAACCTAATTTTGAATTTCCTCTTGAAACAATATTCATTAATTCATTGTTCATAGAAACTTTATAGAGATACTACCACAAATAAAGATAATTGACCATATTTTCTTCCTGAAGTGTATCATTTTAGTGACAATCTATTAGTAGTTTAGCATTAAATATTGGCCTGAAAAATTACTTTTTCTCTTGCATAATTACTAATCTGCTATAAAATTTTAAACTGACACATTATCTCAAGTATTTGGAGGTGTTATTCATTGTCTTTCCTCTGTTAATACTACAAATAAATGTGTACTTTTCTTGACGATTTATTATTGGAATACAGGGATGAAATTATACTGTGTCTGGGACAAGTTTTAAAAGAAAAAGGAGATAGATGAAACAAACGTGGAAAAATCTTAGTAATTCTTGATCTGAGTGATGGGAACATGGAAATTTATTAGTCTTATACTTCAATTTTTAGTATCTGTGAAAATATTTTATAATGTTTTATAAAGGAAATATAAAAACAGTCTCTAAAGACCAATGTTCCACAGGGTAAACTGAGGGAAGGTGAGCTGGTGCCTTGGAAATAATTCAAAGAATTGGACAGGAGAAGGAAGCAAAGTTTATTATTCACTTTCCATAGACAGAAAATAACTAGCATTCAGTAGGCAAATGTGACCTTGAAGACTGAGAGGCTGGGTATGTTTAAGGCTCTTTTGGTCTAAGAAGTAAGTCCGGAGGTTACATTCTTTGATGTAGATAACAGAAGTCACATAAGTCTTGTTTCTAGACATCCCCAGGCACCAATATCATATGACTCCAGTTGGTGGGCTGAAGACTGGTTATGGAAGATTGATAACAGTATATCATTGCTGGAAAAATAGATGCCTAGAAGAACAATGAAGGCTAGACATTTTTAAGGGGCTAGAAATAATTACCAAGTCCTAACCTTGGGAAGACAGTTTTGCATCTTGCTAATGATTAAGAGGAAAAGAATAGGCTGGTCAGCAGAAAGGTTCAGCAATACATAACAGTGCTAGGACTGAGACAAAATGACTGCACTGCTGCTAGGACTATGTTACCAAATTCTTCTATTCTAAGATTCTTGGAGTTCCTACTTTTCACTACCTGAGAATATAGCTTCAACTCACATGCTTAATTCTCTGCTTTTTGTTCTTTTAATATTTCTCACTCTTGGAAATATTTCTTATTTTTATTTTTTTGGACTCAGCAATGCATAAAATTTTTTTAATATATATTATTATTTAGGAACTATATGTAAAACTTCCAAAAATTTTACATTGTTTTGGTCCATCATTTCACTGGAACCATTTATTTTCATGAAGAATATTGAAAGACAGGACAAGGAGCAGAAGTTATAAGATGAAGTACTAAGTCAACTACATCAATATTAAAAGAGACTATCTCCTCCCCCAACAAAAGAGCTTTTAAACACAAGCAGAAATTGAAGTATTGAAAATAAAGAAGAATTAGGCTTCACACAATGTAAAGAATCTAACAAATATTAACATGATCAACAAATCAATAGGAAAATGAACAAAAGAGAGGTTAAGAGTTTCCTTTTAAAAAGAAACTAGATTAGCCAAGTCTCATAAAAAGAAGTACTTCAACCATATTATTAATAAATTCAATTGAAGA